TCTTTATGAAAAAATATACCAAACAACAGAAAGTTATGTTGTTTTTTTTTACCAGCAACTTTCTCTAATTGTTGTGCTTGTGTTTCCACTAGTCTTTAAATTTGTGTTTTATATATTTTTTAAAGTGTTTTTATTTTTGGTTGTCTCCTACAGTATGTGGATTTAGAGGTAGGACTCACAACAAAATTAAATTATGGTATTATGATTAAAATAAATATTCTTGATTAATTAGAGACAAATAAGTTAAAGACTGTGAGAAAAAGAGTAAACTGTAGAAATAAGAAAACAACTGACATCCAATCTGAAAAAATATCTTTGCTTTTTTTGTAATATTTGTATTTTCAGTTGCAATTAAGGTAATGACAGTCTTATTGGTACTGGAGCATAGAGATCTTACTAGGTTTTTTTACTAGAAAACCACAGGCCATTTAAGCAAAGATTTATTTATTTTTTTTATAAACAGAGGAAAGTAGTTTAACCTCGGGCATTACAAACTTAAGTTCAGCTGCACCACAGAAATGCTGCTTGTAGCTCTCCAAGCGCAGTTTCATAACACAGGTTACATCATTTAAGAGTAATACATGGAACTGTTTTATTTTTCATCCTATTTTCTGTTTTGTTTTTCTTTAATGATAGTAAATATTTCCAAACATACTAATCTGTCTTTTTTTTCTAAGCAGTGGAAGTTAGCAGAAGAGTTAGGACATAGCTGCAATCTTCAATGCTCCATAGCCAGAGAGCCCCCACCCTGCTAATGCAGAACTTTAATTCTTAAAACACAGAGGAAAAAAGTTATTAGCACTTTTTGAGCTATAACTTTTTCAAACCTAGGTATACATTGATACTGGTATCCCTTCCTACCACAGAGACATCCACAAGACATTTCCTAAACCACACAAATTAAAAGTGAAGCCATTATATATCACTAACTGCTGCAATAGAAAGCAAGTGACTGATTTTGTTTTGGCTGGTTGAATGGCTTTTGGTTTCACAAAATGAATTTTGTCATTGCACAATTATCTGTGGGGAAACAAGAGTCAGCACAAATGCATTCCCTTACAGATTCATCATACCATCTTTCAACTTCTAGGCCAGCGTGGTGGGAGCGTAACAAGCTGCGGTCAGTTTTTTAAGTAAGTGCATGGAAATGGATTACATTTAAGTTTAACATGGGGGCATAGTGAAATGGAGGCTACTGGAAAACAGTGGTTTTACTATTGAAATGTGGCTATGTGGGAGCAAAGATGAAGGTTTATTACTGTATGTGAGTGTGTCCAAATAAGGCTAAAAAGACTGACAACAAAGAAAAAAAAGTGTAATGACTGACCTGCAATCAAAGAGACAAAAAAAGACAACATGTAAAAAAATACCACCTCACACAGGCTTCTTAAAGATTGCACTTAAGGTTTGTGGTGGTGTGGTTTCTTGAGAGACGACTAAGCCACAGGAGAGGAAAGAAAAGAACTGTGAGAAAGAAAGAAAAGGAAAGAGATGGAGGCAGGCATCTCCAAGGTTGGCGCATTGGGAGTACACCTTGTAATTATCTGCATCCGTTCTGTCAGCCGCAGCCAGCAGAACGGACAGATACAGATGAGAGACTCTACAAACGTGATACTTACATGGTAATTCACACATCAAAGACAGAACAGAAGAAAAAAAAATCAAGAACAAATAAACCAACGCACACGCCTGACCAACAAGCTGCACTTATTTTACAAGGAAGTAGTCACTCCTTAACACATATACTGTAGGATTATTAGGGGGTTCAGACCAGAAAGTTCTAAGTGTAGCTTCATTCCACGTGTCCATTTTGAAGGGTTGCAAGGCTTCCACATGCCTTATCCCTTCCGCAAACTTTTTCTGTCTTTCTTATTCCAGTTTTAATTGTTGGGGAGGACCGAATCACATGCTAGACTCAAAGTACCCAAGCCTGCAAACTTTTTACCTTCACACAGGGGCATTAGCAGAGCTTGCCTGGATTGTTTATACCCCTGCTGACCTTTAGGTGTCAGTGTTACTCCTGATGGCTGTGAAAAAATTCAATATACTGATTCCCCACAGGAATGAGATCAGAGGTGTGTATTAATTTATGGGAGTGTATATGTTTCCTCTTATACCTGACAGAGGAAAGCAAAAACAATGAGTAATTTTTTTCTCCATACATTTATTGCAATGTTTTATCTTTAACAGTAGTCCACAGATTTCACCTGTGGTGAAATAGCTTGTCCTCCAAAACTTTTGTTTGACATCCATGCCTTCCTAACTATATTAGTCAAGGTTAGAAAAGTAAGCTTTACTGCAGTCTCAAGGAGAAAAGAAAATTATTAACTGCTGTGATCATCACAGTGTTCCATGTGAATCCGCAACCTTTTTGCTGAATGTCTAACTGACCCCACTGGGAAATCATTTACTCTCCACTTGCTCTGCCGGAACATCCCATGAGAGGTCATTTTATCTACCTGTCTCCATTTCTCAGTCATTCTTCGCTGCAAACTGCTTACTCAGCAGTCGTTTGCCTGTCCTTTACTAGATGATGAGAATTCTTTACTCGTGGGGGACTATCAATCCCCTGGGGGCTTGTCATCAGCTCTCATTTGAGGATGATTTTATGGGACTCTACTCACAGGATCTGTGTTTATCTGAGCACCCCAAATCATGGACCTGTACGTCTATTGAGAATGTCCTTGCAGTCAGAGCGTGATCATCCTGCTGTGGAGATTTGCTTGTTTGACTGTCCGTCCAATGAAAATTCCTCCCTCTTGTTTATTTGACTTAATTACTATGTCGGCTCCATGCATGGTAGAAGGGATGACTGACACTTCATTCAACAACCAGTCTACCTTCTTTTAGCATCATCTGTTTTACATCTGCCAGCTTGTCTTTCAATAAAGTAGAACGCTGTTCTTCTCAACCTAAGACTTGTTTCCTGACTTTCAGACCGCCTTCGAACACCTGTGGAGACGAAACGCACGGAAAGACGGCGGCAGGCAACACAAAGTGGCACATAGTACTCTCTTGTGAGCCAACAGCTGACTGTTATCACGCATTCAACATAAAATTCAACAGGCCGATAAAAGATTCCAACTCGTGGGCTTGCGCTACGCACCCAAAACCAGGTGTTTCAATATATAAAGACATGCAAGACCTGACACATTTTTTGCACACAAGCTGAGACACCTCTTCTAGTCCAGGGAGAGGAAATCACAAGAGAAGGTGTTGAGTGCTCAAACCAATATCTAACAAGAACATTATCACAAACAACACCGCTTTAAAGCAAAATGCATTTTTTACTTTAGTATTGTACGTCTAACAAGACAAGAAAAAGACCTGATCTCGCAGTTTGACAGTGCACATCCATCACTCATACAGTGTGTCAATCCACACTTTGATGCCTGGCAACATGCTTCTTGTCTCTCACTTTTGTTGGCAACATGTTCACTTGTCAGACTGAACAACGTAGAGGTGCACAAAAGACTAGATTCCTGTTCTTTAAACACATGCCTCCATGAAGAACGGCTGACATTTTTCCATCATCCTTAAAAGCTTGGCTTTGTGCGAACTGATATGATAGAGCCCAGGGGATGTTTGACATAAAGCAGGTAAGTTCAACAATCTATCTTCTCATGTCATCACATTTTAAAGCCTTGCCTGACGATCTGCGATGAATACTTAGGAGAAAATAAACTAAAGTCAGTTACGTTTTTATTTTAGCCTAAGGGCATGTGAAATCATATTCATTTAGAAACTGAAAGAGTGATAAAGTGAACTATGCTGCCCTCAAAATTACAACTTGCCTTCCATCTAAAGAATAAAGCATGTCATATAGCCGGCCTCTAAACATAAGTTACGCTAAATGTCTCGTCTAAACATAGAAACGATTTGGTGACAGACAATATATTCAGCCCATGCTTCAGGCCATCGTTTGATTCTACCTCTCAAAGGTAAAAGTGAGATTTGGAAGAATAAACAACAAAGATTTGGGTGACAATCAAATGCGGGAAAGGACTTTCAACTGTGTACTCTTGCTCTCAGTTGCAATCAGCGCTTGTTCAGAAATTGTCAGAGGGTGTAACAAGGAGTCTTCAAGCAATGTACTTTCCCCAAAATTCCCCCTAAAATGGCAAAAATGTTGCCAGTTATTTCTGTCCAAGTTGAAAAGTCTGCTATTACAGGGAGCCTGATTTAGTGTAGGGTGTGAGAGAGGAGTCGAGACGAGGAAAAGAGAAAGAGGGAGGAGAGGAAGAACCGGCGCTCCGCAGTCTCCCCTCAAAATAACACAGAAGCGGTGAGAATAACATGTCTGCTAAATACGTCAAAAATGTACACGTGCATGATAAAATCTCTTACTTTCCACAAAGCTGCAAAGAGAAGACTTATTATAGATAACTTGAAGATGATAGCATTCAAAGTCTTCAACTATTTCAGTCAAGATAAAGTAAGGAGAAGGGGCTCTGTGTCATGACCCGGGAAGAGCCCCCTGAAGCACCCCTCCCACCATCTCTTTTTTAACATTTTGGGACAGAAGCCATTAGAACTGAGGTTCTGTTGCCTGTTCATTGCACTTAACAAGGCTGTGCTGTGCCAACAGAAAGGGACAGCACAAGAGGAAAAATGATACATGGCCAATTTTTACATTTAACTTCAGGCAGGAGTGCTTTCACAGCATATGGAAACAATCTCCCCATTTGTAAGAAGAATGGTGAATTCTTAGAGACAGCCAGCCTGAGTGAGAGGGAAGCAGCGAGGAAATGGGAGAAATGAATACAGAAGGTTTTGTGAAGAGGAGGTAGGTCTTGTGCACTGACCAAGAGACAAACACAGAAGCAGAAATAGACTTACTCTCATAAAGGAAGAAAAGGGACACTCAGTATGCCAAAGAATAGATGAAAAGAACAGCACAAAGGAGCACCCATGGGTAAGAAAAACAGATCTGGTCTAAAAGCAAACGCGCAAGCAATCCCAAATAACCTGGAGTCAGAAAACACAGGGAATGGGCTTACCCTTAAATGACAGCTTTAGTCTGGGAACATTGTGCTTGGGCTCAACTCCTCTTCCCATCTGCACCGTAAAGCACAGCAGCACTACAGTCCCAAGCAGGTAATCCATGGTGCTGGAGTGCTGCTGTCTGGCCTCCAGACCAGGGGGCCACTCAGAGCCCGACCCCAAGAAAGGTGTCCTCCGCTTAGGTATGCAAGTGCTGAAAGTAGAGGTTCCAAGGAGAAGGGCTGATTCCTGGTTGTACTCCCTGGATCAGAGTGCACACTGTTGGGGCAGTTCTGATGTGTGAAGTCGGCAGAGGGAGGTACAGCTCACATGGCTCCTCATGTGGAAATCCAGGCAGTATAGTTGATTGGCTTATCGTTCCTTCTCCAGGTGAAGACACTTTAGCTGGACTATGTTGAGATGTATAGACAAAGCAAAGGCAATATCAGAATATGTATCCAATATAATAAGGCTATCCTCTTGCTGGAGATTTTTCTGATCCGTTTCTGTCCACTGGCTCCCACTCTTTGAGCAGACACTCACAACAACCCTCTAATCCTTGTGAGCAGCTCTACCAGACTGCGAGAGAGCTACACCATCCACGGTAAGGGAGGGGAGGGGAGGCAGAGCAGCTGAGAGAGAGGGAGGGAGAGAAGGAGGAAAGAGGAGGTGGGGTATTACTTGAAAGCAGTGATGGAGGCAGTGTCATAGAGAGGAAGTAGAATGGTTAAGATTTATAGGCTAGACTTTTCCACACTCTTTCCTTTGCTCTTTGTCAGTATTTATTTCTTTTTTTTTTGCCTTAATTTATTCTCCATCACAGCAATGAAACACCTTCCCTTCTTCCTTTAATTCCCCTGCCACCAACGCTCTGATCATGAAATTTAAAGTTTAATCACTGAGTGCACCTATCTGGCTTATTAGAATGCTTAAAAGGCAGAGTTAATCTTGTCAGACAAAAGATGGGGATCCAGAAGAGAGAGCTGCCATTAAATTTAATGAAATGACTTGAAGAAATCTTTCAGATTTTATCTGTGGATTGAAATGGAAAAAATAGAGAAGAAATTTGGTAGTACGATTTATATATTTCAGAGTTGTTTCATCTAGGAAATTTCAAAATGTAGAAACATTCTTAACATGCTTTTTTACATGTTTACCAATAGAGTTTGAAAAAAAGGAAATAAAAATAAAAGTACTAGAATATTTGAATTTGGATTTGATATGGTTATAGACACAAACCAAATATGCTAATTGAATATATAAAATTCAGCATTATTAGTCACTATGCTCTTTTACAGTGCCCCTAATGTTCACAACACAGGGGCCGTGCACTCTCCATTAACTCAACATGCAAATAAATAAGAGAAAACTCATTTGCTTGCCACCCGAGGCAATGAGCCATATGGTCCACATAAAAAAATTCACTAATGGATACTTTCACATAAAGTGCAAACTGTATAGTGAGTTAATTTGACAGGAGGATCTTACCTTAATTAAAAAACAAAACTGCGTGATGGATGGAAAATGCTCATAATAATACTTCTGCTGTATTATCACTTCACAAAATACATTTCTGATCTCTGTCCAAAGACAGAGGCCAACAGAATAAAATTATATATAATATTATATAATGTTATAAGCGGAAATATTTTCCAAGAAACTATTGTTTGACTTTGCACCAACCAGTTGACTGGTTGTGTTTGTTTCATCCCCTTCCAAGTATCGTTTCTGGTTTGCAAGCACCAAACCTTCTGCTTCTCCTCAATGACTGACTCATCTTGCTAGATTACCTTCTATTAACATTACTCAGAAACTCCACCAAAACCTGTTGATTGAAGGCAGATTTGCCTTTTATGTTGGTTCTAGAGTGTGACTCTAAAAGCAATAAGGATGAAAAGGAATAGTCTTTGTTTATTTTGCATCCACAGTGGCTATCGTCTCTAGCAACCAAAAGGGTTGTCGATTTAGGGCATTGTTGTCATGTCTTTGCAGACCAAACATCTAGATTATTTTAGACCTTAATTTATGAGATCTGTTCAGGTTTTGTGAGGTTTCTTTCATTTATTTTAATCCTTTAAAGCAGAAAAAAAACCCAGTTACATTGAGAAAATAAAACCATTAGAGATAAATGCACAAACATCATTATGGGTGGTGACACTGTCATAGTGGCAAATAATAATTTGATTTGTACCAACTTTGGATGAATGTATATTTGCAGTCTTATTCATTTTGTATACAGCTTTTATTGGGAATGAAAAACAGTTGGTTGGTTCCTTTCCTTGTATTCGGTTTGTAGCTGCTCTTTAATTAACAACAAAGTAGCTGCCTTCTTTTGGCCGGCTGTAAAGAGCTGTGGTTGTAAAGCTATCTAAAAAAAAAGTCCACCAGCAGTAGTCAGTTATAGTTATTATGTTTTATTATTGGGTTAGGATTATTTAATGTATTCAGACATCCAAAAATACTAGTAGAACCAAGAAAACTATCAATGAGGTATTCTGTTTTATCATCAGGTCTCAAAATACAACTGAATTTTACATGATTTGATATTTAAATTAGTCTAACCTTTGTACCGTATATAAAGGCCAATAAAATAATAATAATGTTTAATAAAAAAAGTGACATCCTGGCCATTTAATCATGATATTATTCTCCACAATACTTAACTACCAAAAGCAAAAAAAATATATATACTTCCTGGTTAAGTTTACTGATACCAAACAATTTCTTTAGTTACATACTGGCAGTTTGATGTTTTGTGTTTTATTGATCTGTAAAATGGTTTAATCTGCTAAACTTCATGCATATATGGCCATGCCATAATTGGTATGCATTTATTTTCTTTCTAAAGCATTTTTCTTGCTTTAATGCAAGAACAATTGTACTACAATTAGCAAAATTCAACTGAGGTGGAAACCTCCCTTTGGGACATCTGTGGGCACATCCCACTGGGAACTGGCCTTGGGAGGCTTTGGATGTCCAAAGAGGGAGCTAAGGTGAAGGATGTTTGTAGTGCCCTTCTGGATCAGTTAAAGGTAAGTGAATAATAATAATAATAATGTAACTTTATTGATCTCACATTAGAGAAATTTACCTCAGCATTTAACACATTCACTTGGGGAGCAGTGCTATCGTGGGGCACCTGGGGAGCAGTGTGGGGTTAAGCGTCTTGTTTAGAGGCCCAGAGTGGCAGTCTGTGGGAGCGGGGCTCAATCTCAGAACCTCAGGATTCCAAGCCCTATGCCCTAACCACTTGGCCGCAACTCCCCATAAACATGACATAAGCGTGTGAGGATGGATGGATGGATGGATGGATGGATGGATGGATGGATGGATGGATGGATGGATGGATGGATGGATGGATGGATGGATGGATGGATGGATGGATGGATGGATGGATGGATGTTTTCAGCAAACAATCACACAAAAATCAATATAGTATTTAACAAATCAAATTTTCATACAGTACGTTTGCACAATCAATTTGAAAAACAGCTGGAATTGGAGAATTAAATCTTTAGTTGAAGTTTTAATTTAGAATGTCTCTTTTTTTAAGGAAACTTCAAATGTAGTGCATATGGTAAAGGATTAAGTATTCTATATGTAAAGCACAGCATCCAAATGGGTTTAAAACTTCCAGATAAAACTATTAAGTGAAGAACAACACATGCTGGTTGGTAACCTGCATAGTCTGAGACAGATCCTGTCTCTGGTAAAGTCATTCATATCATGTTGTAGGTCAACAAAGCCCCCCTCTTAACCTTAGCCAGCCCCTACAGGTTCTGGGGTGTGTGTATGTGTGTGGGAGGGTGTTTTTGTGAGTGAGGACACCTCCTGCTTCCTCTGAGGGGTGACGCGGCAGTGATGAAGTGATAAAAGCTTTGATAAACAGGAGTGCTGATGTGTAAACTCAGACACATCAGGATGGTAAAGTAAAACAACCTAAGAGCCTGGCTTGTTTAGTGTATTGTAAGCAATCTGTGTGTGTATGTGATATCAGGGCGCCTGCATATCCCTGCACCTCCATGCACATTCTGTGTTTTGAAACTATTGCTGATGTATCTTAAAGTGTATTGGATTTCACATTCTTGTCATCTTTTCTGTTGCTTATATTCGCACCATGGTCTTCAGTGCATTTTGGGGTAAAGAGTTATAAAGATATTTTAATGCATCTTTAACTGTATTCAGCTACTAATGATAAACTCCCTAATAGACTGTCCTATAAAAAGTTTTGGGTAGATTAACTATTTAATCAACAGGTAAGTATTCATTGGACACAAATAATCAGATTGAAGGCATGATCAGATAAAAAATGTGTTAGTCTGAAGGTTATAAACCATTTCGACCTGAAAGAAATCTCATTTCGAAAGAGAGAGGTAGTTTTTGCTGATCGCCTTTCCAATTGGTGTCCTTGTACACACCCATTCAGATCTTTGGATTAAAATAATCTTCATGAGCATGAGTGCAACATCGGCGTGAAGTTTTCATAGAAAATTACACATTTCCAGTCATGCTAAAATTATTTAATCTGATCAAGCATTTAGTACACACAAGCTTTCTGATCGGATCCTTTTATTTAGTGTCCATGTAAAGAGAGATTTTTCATTTCCAATCAACAAGGTTAAGATCTGATTGGGGAAATTTTGCACACGTAAACTTCTCCAATTTCTAAAACCATTGTCATCACATGCATTGTCACCTGTTTCTACTTTGATGTAATGGCTGTATATAATGTATTTAATAGCCAAGAATACAAAACACAATTTAAAACTTTGTTTGTTATAGCATATTTTTTTGTGAATGATAGAGAAAATAATCTAAATGTTCCATTTTCAGCAATAAATTTGCATCATAAATTGCATTCTGAAAACATTAATTTACAGTAAACAATTTGTAACAAAGTCTGTATCTCATTACAGAGTTTTGATTTTGGTTACAAAAAAATTTCAAAATAGCACAAAGTAATTCAAAAATACAAAAAGCAGTAATTCCCATCCATTGTTTCTTTTTATGTGTACAAAAATTGGTTATGCCACTTTTTGAAGCACCTTCTAACAAAGTATTGCAAATAAAAGTCAATAAGTCTTTTACATTACATTGTTTTTTTTTTTATCATTTTAATTAAC